TATCATAAAGGCAATAAAAAAGCCCCAAAAAAATACTTAAAATAAAAAAAATTGTGATACAATCCAAACCGTGAGTTTTGTTAATAATGAAAATAATCGTTAGTTGCAGCCCTATTCTTTAATATCATGAATGGATCAGCGTTGGACATTTTGATTGATTTTAACATGACAGCTGTCGTGGGGAATTATTATGTAATTTGTGCTCTTGTGACAGTTCATGTAAACCTCAGGACTGTTTGGTCTGTCTTATTACCTTAGATGAGGTTTCCATGATTTAAAAGCTGCCTTAGGCCAAAAACTGTAAAGGTGACAGGGCAGACTGACTTTTGCTGATTATGATCAGGTCCTACCTCTCCCACGTACTCCATGACGAATGTGTTCTTTTTGATACGCTGCAAAGTGCGAACGCCCCATCCACGGCCGTTCTCTGTCTTGAAGATGCACAGGTCAAACTGGATGCCTTTCTGCACCACTCTGTTGGGACAATCGGAGCCACAGATGCATCTGGAATTACACTCATATATGGGTTTCCCCGGGCGGATCCGGACCTGCCCTCTGTCATTGTAGGCCATGCGGTGCAGGGAGGCCCCAGGGCAGCAACCATTCACCGGCTCTTCTAAACAGTTCTTACACTCACAACCCACAGCCATCTCATTTAACACGATGCCCTGGCCCACTTTGTAGTTGTTGATGTAGGTGAAGTCTTTTGGGGGGCCCTCAAAGTCCACTTCGTTAATGACAAAAATGCGACCTGGGTGGTTGCGAGTCTGGTTCAAATGGGCCTCCCATCGCTGCAGACTCTGACGGAGTTTAGCTTTCCGGACCAGGAATGAGGCAACTTCCTTATCCAGCTTTTTGGGGATGCAGCGTCTTTTGTGGCGCCTCAGCTCCTGATCCAGGTCCAGGTGGAACTGCTTCATTAGTTTGGGGCATTTGAGGTTCCTCTTGGGTTCCCACGTGTTATCAGACTCTGGGAAACCCCTCCACTTTACCAGATAGAACTCTTCCTCCTAAAACACAGAATAAATTCAATCAGCGACACAGATTAGATTCCTTCTTATTTCTAGCTTGTGTATCCTTTTTGTACAGAAGATGACACACAGACAATAGCTATTCTCAGGGGTGAAGTGCTAGTGGGTTGACAATTAACAGCACCAAACCAGCACACATGGCTTTGTGAGGGCCAAGACCCACGGTCCCACCCACACTTCTGGCCTTAAACATCAAATGCTCTCATCTCTATGCGGCAGCTGGAAGTTTCCACCCTAGACATGTAGAGCAGTTCATTTTCTTTCAGAAAAAACTCTGAAAAAAGCAACTGTTAAACAGCACTGTGTGACAGGACTGTAGGAGATGTGGCAGTTCACCAGCTGTAGTATGTTAGTCAGCTTACTGTGGGGGCACACAGGTGGCAGGTGGCAGGTTGCATGTAAACCTGGCTGTCGATATTAGAAATGAATTTCTCTGTGCCGGTCAACAACCAATTCTGCTCTTACAATCACACGTACAGCTGATCTTTATAATAATGTAATGAATTATGTGTTTGTGGATAAGCACTGTGTTGCTTCTTTTGTGATGATCTGCTAGAGAGGCCTCCTACCCGAGTGTGTGTGTGCGCGCACCTGTCTCTCGTCCTTTGTTTAGACACAACTGACAAATATGTGGAATAGGTACGTAATTTAAAATAACCTAATAATCTAATAAATATAGTGGATGGGCAGATTTTTATATTTTGTAATGTAGGGGGAAAGTGAAAGTGAATGGTTTGGCAAGAATGGGATGCATAGTTTAGCATTTATCAGAATCAGATTATTTAATATATAATTTATATCATTAATAATAGATAATCAGTATGTTTTCTTTCCTGATTGGCTCACGGAAAAAAATAGAAAAGACGCTGGAACAATTGCTGGAGAGCTTGAGTTGAACGCAGAGCTCCACGCCATGGCACGCACAGAGTAGGGTAACATTTAACCAAAATATGGCTATACGCAATATCCACATCACAGAAGATGGTAAAATGTGTGACAGCATTATAATGATGTACTGTAGTTTCGCAGAGATGACATGACCTACAAATCTTGTTCTCCAGATGTAAGAAAACATGTTTGGTACAGACCCAAAAACAATTCATTATGATTTTATTACCATACCTTAATCTTCTTGTAGTCACAGAGGAATTCCACCTCATAGTCGTTGACGTTGGCTCTGTTCACCCCAAGCTGTTTACAGTGGAGCCTCTCTCTGCGACACAGGGCTTCCAGCTCATCCCAGGACACCTTGCAGGGCACGCTGCAATCTGACACAGCAACCCCCTTTAGGTAAATGTCATATGCAAAGAGGCCACGCCAAACTCCACTTAAAAGGCATTCGATTTAAACTGCCACTGCTCACTGCTGCAGGTGCAAAGCATTGAAGCATTACTTTTGTATGTGCTGACTTTGATTGTATGTGTTAATTCGGCATACATCCAGTGAACCAGTGAGTTTAACTCCGCCCTTTCCGCCAAACACGGCAGTGAAGAATGATAGTGAAACAGTGGAAAGCACGTTAAAAGCACAAGGTGAACTGAAAGACTGTGCTTAGTACGTCAACAGCTATGTGAACCGACTAGAACCTTGTCTTCGACTTTATTACTTTTTAATGTATGACGGTTCCAGATAAACAGAAATAACGACGTATGTATTTTAAGAAAAACGTCACTAAGCAGATGATCCAAATCGACTCTCGAACCAGTTTTTACGTTTAAATCGTCGCGTGCATTATCCCCAGTGGAAAGATCAAACAGCCAAAAACACATAATGCCATTTAAACACTGACGTGACGCTGCATGGCGCGTGAGGCTTATCGAGTAACGTTGCAGTGTTTGCCCGCTAAACCTCGCAGAATGCCCCTTACACTACAAAGCGCTAAACTACATTTATAAACTGACTTTATGCGTTCTAAAATACACAACCTTAGCATACCCCTAAACTAATTAAGTAATTCACGGGCGAATAGAGGCTGCCTTTAACTGCACAAGTACTTAGGACAACTACCTCGTCTTCCTAGAGTCACCATGATATACAACCCCACAGCTCTCGTTAATCTTATGTGAAGTCGAGGACAAGCGTCCATATTCGAGCTCTTTAAAGAGTTTACACTTACACTTACACAAATAACAATAGTAAATAAACGTATAATAGAGTATAAAGTCATATCTTACCTTTCAAATTTTCCGCCATGTTTACCGCACAGCCGCCAAAATAGGAGTGGGAGGTTTCGACCGCAATGTCTGACTGTAGTGGCTGCTGATTGGACGAGCGACACATGTCAGTCCCCTCATTGGTTCAGATGTAGTCAGGAGGTTCCTCCGGAAGACACATATCGGTGGATGGTAAACCGGAAGTTGGAAGAGAATTGTTTGGACAGAGAGACGGCGGATTTCAATCCAACTCTATCGTGAGTGAGTGTAGCAATGAGTTGTAGTTCAGATGGTGATGTGACAGGTGGCCTTCAGATATGGAGTTTACCCCAAAAAAAGGCAAGGAAAAAATAATGGTCTAAGCGAGTAGTGGAGGAGTGGGTACTCAATAATATCAATAACAACAATATGAGCTTCCTGCAGTACCGGAGGCTGCACTTTCAGGACCGGATTTCTGGGACCGCGATAGCACTTTTAAAGGTTTATTCCACCCAAATACTACTTTATTCAAGTACTTATAGTTTTAAAGGTTTATTCCACCCCGACACTTACAATTCAACTTATTTGCTAAGAGTTACATGTTGGGCAATCTGTGTAATTAGCTCATTATACTCAGGTAAATATGGATCATATGCTATGCCTTTACAGTCAACTTGAAAGGTTGGAGAGAGACAAAGCAATAACAAGTCTGGGGGCAGACTGAAGAATTTATATATATTTATAGAAAACAAACCAAGAACAATACAACTACTTTTTGCTGAGGAGCGGGGTTAGGAGGGTTACAGGTACATGTACAATTAATAATTACCTGTTAAAAAATTTATTCACTTACCCAATCCAAGTCACAATATTAAAGTAAGGTAACTAAATTACTTTCCATTACAAGACATTGTCTTGTATTGACCTTACTTTAGTTTCTAATAATCTAGTAAATTCTTGTGAGTGGAATATTAAAGAAGCACTAAAGAAGTATTGGGAGTGATCATTTCTAATAATATGCTCTATAAATGTTGAAATAGATATTCAAGAAAGGCCCAGTCATAAGAAGTGGGGTTTTGCAAAAGCAAAAATTTGAAGAAATACGTTGTAAATCATCAGGTTCCATTTCAATGAAGGGTGACATTGAGTAATGTGCATTTGAAGTTTCATAGTTTAATCCTAAATGCAGCATTGAATATCATACCATTCAAGTCAGTTGGGGGGGGAAAGGAAAACAGTCCCATGGTGGAATGATATATGTACAGAAGCTATTAAAGAACGAAATAGTGTGCTGAGAACAGTGGCAGTTTTGGGCATGGGCGAAGCAGGCAGCAGCCCAGGGCAGCATTTTTTCATGACACATGGGGGGCGGCACGACGGGCACAAAAAATCCTCTGCGCTGCGAAGCAGTTTTCTATTATCTAT